AGACCTGGCTTGGCGAGGACGTTGACGACGAATTCTGATGACGTGGCGGCCCTCGGGATCTCCGTGTGCGTTCTGTCCAAGCTGTCGAGAAGGCTCAGACGCAGCTTCTCGTGCAAGTGTCCGTCGCAGTAGCAGAGCACAAAACAGTCAGTTGAGCGGAGACTGATGGTCGGACATTGCTTGAGGCGAGGTATGGCTGCAAAGGCCCGATGCAGGTTGCCCCCGCGCGACTGAAGTCGCGGCTCGTGGTACAGCGCGCGGGCCAGTCCAAAGGCGACACGGGTCTTGACGTTGTTGAAGTGAAAGCTGCTGTACTCGACGGTGCTATGACGCTGGAATTGCGCTAGAAGAGGAATTGGGTGAGCTCATCGACTGCGATTTGAGCTTACGGACGTGCGGGGCGATCAAGCCGTAGAGAAGCGGAATGCACGTGATGAGTCCCGCATAAATGACACAGCCAAGGGCCGACTCGATCTCTTGGCTCCGTCGCTCGGCGGGCAACAGACAGTAGAACGTCCAGCGGTAAATGCGCGTGAAAATCTCAACATGGCCGTTCATCCATGTGAGCACCGGACCATAAATGGTGACTGCAATGGCGACAAGAGTCGGATCGACTTCGCCAAAGATGTGTTCCTTCTGCCAGCGTTTGAGCCCAAACGAGACGAGGCAGAGACCCCAGTACGCAAACCAGACCTAGAATCAGATCTCAGAAATCAGACAAGCTGGGACAACATACCGTCCGTGCCAGATACGACATGCTGAGAAGCATCAGCTTCGCGTTGCCATTTTGTGTGACTTGCATGATGGCGATCGCGAGGTTGGTGACGCTGAGCCAAATGTCGAGAAAGTATAGGGACGCGACCCACGGATCCATGAGGATGATGGTGGTTGGGTCGCCCACAACCAGCTGGTAGGACCAAGCACCCTCGGGCATGGTCTGGCGATGACCAGATATTTGTAGTCGTGCCTCGAGCTCAAAAACATGGCGGTAGTAGAGGCGCCAGAGCCGATTCCAGACAAACAATGTGGCGCAAATTCGATAGACAAACTTGAACCAGACCCAGGACTCGTACCTTGACTCCCAGTAGGCAAAATAGACGGTCACATGGTCGCTGCTGTCGTTGGTCGTATTGTGAATTGCGTCACCTGGTACGACCCAGAGACACGACCGACCCAGTGTAAAAGTGATCAGCTGTGCATGAAAGCACGAGCCCAGATTTGCCCACTTGCCGATGCTGCTGGTATTGGGCAACTGGAGCACACTGCAGAGCAGGTCCACGTGGGCCCCGGTGTAGTAGATAAGACCCGGTAGACCCAAGAGATGTGTTCGAAAACACATATTCGCATCCATCGGCGGCTGTGCGAGGGGTAGCAGTGCCCGGGCGACTTGTGCGTCGTTGAGATCATCGACAAGGTAGACGACCCCCCGAGGCAACGTTGCACTCGAATACAGCTGCTGGTTTACAGCGAGCATTGCCGTGCTGAACGTCGTGTAGTTGGCGTACGATTCGGCGGCGCTCAGTCGACCGACCCACGGGAGGTACTCCGAGAGGTAGGCCGTGAGCGGCTATCGAGTGCATTAGAAGAATATACAGTAGGTAGGTTGTCTACCATAGACGAGACATTGAAGAGCGACGCGATGCTAAGGAACCAAGCTAGGCCGTGGCGATGCACGCGATAGCATGACGACGTCGGTGCTACCTTGCGCATCCAGAGCAGTCCTATTTATATTTCCGTTGTGCGCCGGTTGGTTAAGTTTCGTCAGTAGTAGCAAGACCATACTAGTACACTGTAATTTATGGCCTTGGTAGTCGCGTTGTTGATGTCCCATTTGCAGCAGCACACAATGCAGTCAGCTGTGCGCAAGCTAATCATGGGCATGCGTCGCGGGATTTGCTCAGTACCTGCAGCCAAAGCGACGTGTCGGATCGCGAGTCTATCCGGATCCGGATAAAGATACGCGGCCATGACGATGTGCGATTGACGGCCAAGGATAAAATCGTCGGGCACAATAGTCGGTGATAATTAAGATAACGAATTGTCGCCCAGGAAACGTTGCTCATAACCCCGCTTTGCCCAAAGCGGGGGGGTCCTCGCGGGTCTTCCTCGCACAGTAACGGATATCCTCGTTGCGTTCAGCAAGTGCGCGACGTTGGAGGTTGAGCTGCCACCAATTCATCCGCAAATTCAACACTCGCGCGCAAACTCCGTCGATCACAAGATTCCATCTGCCACGTTGAATTCCAGGCGTTTGCTGTGCGTCCTGCTTGAGCATGAATAGGACTAAGACCCATTTTGGTTTTTGCAGTCGCCTCTGCACCCGCCCCATGAAGCTTGTGCTCTCCTCTCTTCTCTTGGCTGTCGCGTCGGCCGTCCCGCTTCAGCTATGCACGGTGGACGGCATGTTCCTCTCCGAGTACGAAAAGTCACTCTACGCCGACGTCCGCCGCAACAACAAGAACGAACATTTTGACTACGACCCGACGACCAAGTTGCTCAAGGCCACGTCCAACGGCCAGTGCGTGTGCGCCGAGTCGGGCAAGCTCGTCACGGAGAAGTGCGACCCCAACGACGCCTCGCAGCACTGGGAGGTGGACTTGAACCACGTGTTCGCGCCGGGGGCCTATTCGTGTCTCCAGACCTCGACGCCCGGTGTGCCAGTCGGCCTCGCCAAGTGCGTGTGGGAGACATCGATCACGGCGGGCCAGTTCCTCACCGACTGCAGCACCGGCGTGCCAGAGTACGTGACGATCACGTCGGTCAGCAAGAACCGCCTACTCGAGTTCCAGACGGGTCTGTATGCCCGCCCGAGCGAGGACATTGCCAACCAAGTCTTTGCGTGGGACAAGGCCAACAAGATGCTCAAGAGCGCGAGCAACGGCCAATGTCTCGACGCCTTCAAGGACGCCAACGGCAAGGTCCAAGTGCACACGTACGCGTGCGACGTCAAGAACAGCAACCAAAAGTGGAACTTCAACCCGAGCACCAAGACGCTCGAGCACGCGACCCATGCTGGTCAGTGCCTGGATGTCGACCACAGCGACTTCCACGTACAAATGTGGGCGTGCGTCCCCGGCAACACGAACCAAATGTGGACTATTACGTCGTACAATGCCGAGGCACGTCGTAAGTGGTAACAACACACTCGCGAATCCGCGGGTTCTGGAGCGAGTCCTTTTCTAGAATGACGAGTCAGATTCTAACTTCACCACACGAACTGTGTCCCACCATATTGTCTTTAAGGGTGGAATACCGTCGAGTCGCTTCCTTCGTTAGCAAAACAGAGCATGCATGTAGAGGCGCCCTTCGCGTCGATTGCTGACGAAAAAGAGGAGCATCGAGGACCACTTAGCGAGTGCGCTCACGGGAAAATGACGCTGCTGCGTCATAATGATTGATGCTCTGACGGAAACGGGCATCGCAATCGGCCAGCAGCAATCATCGGGCGCCATTATCTTGCAATTTTGCCGTTGGCCACTCGGCTGGTGCGACCGCTGGCCGTGCCATGTACAGGCGCGCAGACGTGTCGGTAGGCGTGGCGCCGACGCTTGCGCCGCACACCGAGCGACCGAGCCGGCCCTAGGGCGGATCGCAGGCCAATTCCGTCGACGGCCTCGTACGTTGGCCACGAGTCCGCTCGCAAGACGCGCTCAGCGCACTACGTAGACCAGCGACGGTATGTGACCGCCGCGACGTCCTCTACTGACGCGCCTCCAGAGCGTGAACCGCTGACACACGCCAACAGTCGGATGCGCCATCACTGCGCCAGGCTGTCGGCTCTCGTCATCTCGCCAGCATTGTGCTTGCGAGAGATTATGGTTCTGCCGCCTTGCAGCTGCGCCCGAGGTACTACACCAACATTTATACGTCAGAATGCAGTCTGTGATGCGTTCGACGATGTAGAGCTGACGCTTAACCACAAGGTTTCCGTCAAGTCATCGGTCGCGAACGACATGCCTCTCCTCGCCACGTCCATTGCCCAGTGTCACCACGACAAGTAGCCAGCCATCCGTATCAAGCTGATGATAAAGCCATTCGACTCCGAATTAGAATGGTACTTGTTGGTACGAGGCATGTTGCGCATCCATGCACCAATATAGAGTAGATCTCCGTTGTTTGGACGTCGAGCGGCCAAATCCATCAGTGCAAGTGAGCGCAAACGCTTTCATTGCAAGATTTCAATTAATTCCTCGTGGACGGACTCGTTCATTTTCGAATTTACCGCCTCGGGTACCCATGAAGCTTGTGCTCGCTTCTCTCTTGGCCTAGCATCACCCATTCAACTGTGCTCGACCAACCGTTTGATCCTCTCGGAATACAACACGGCGCTCTACGCAGATGTCATTCGCCACAACGACAATGAGAAATTCGACTACGACCAAGTTGCTCAAGGTCGCGTCCAACGGCCAGTGCGTCAAGGCGATGTCGGGGCACGTCGCCACAGAGGTTTGCAAAGTCTCTGACGTTGGCCAGCACTGGAAGGTCAAGGAGAACCACGTTTACTCACCGTCGTCCGAGAAGTGTCGGCACGCTGCACCGCCGACGCCGGGCGCGCCCGTCGGCCTCGCCATGTGCCACTGGTATAGTCCGCTGGCCTCCGGGCTGGACCTCGTCGACTGCAACACGGTGGCGCCAGCGTACGTGACGATCACGACGGTTGGCAGCCGCCGCTCGTTGAATATCAGACGGGATCGTATGCCCACTCGGTGGACGATAATGTGAGCGCGAGCTCTTTGTTTGGGACAAGACCAACAAGACGTTCAGGGCGCCAGCAACAACCAGTGCTTGGACGCGTACAAGGACAGCGCCGATGGCAAGTTCAAGCTCCACACGTACGCGTGTGACGTCAACAACGTCAACCAAAATGGAACTTCAACCCGAGCACCAAGACACTCGAGCACGCGACCCATGGTGGTCAGTGTCTGGACGCCGACCCGACGCACACACCCGCTGATTTCTACCAAGTGCATATGTGGCCCTGCACCGCCGACAACAAGTACCAGCGGTGGACCGTTGCGCCGTACGAGGGCTACGCGCAAGTGAGGTGGATCGACGACATTCACTCGCACAATCTGACGTGCTGTTGTTGCAGACGAATAGTCCAGATCGGTTTTCTACATACAGTTTGAATCCCACCGTCTTTTGTTCTAGAACAACGTATACAATGCAAAAGACGAGCGGCGACAAGACATTATCGACCGATTCTCCAAACAAACTGGACGGTACTAGCTCAGCATTAACGATCGGATCGTGGTCACGAACGTGGCACCACCTCCTCGTAGTGCTGCAAGGACATGATTGTCTTGACGATACGATCTTAGTGCGTGCCTAGAGACACCAGACCGACGGCGTCGAGGCCCGTTGCAGCACTAGCAACGGTATCTGCGGGCCAGAGGCTTCTTGCCGCTTGACAAACACCGAGTGGTCTAGCGGTTGGAGCACGTCAACTGTAAAGTCCGACGGCGTCGGCGCCTCGATGACGACGCTGGGCTGTAGCTGCAGTGTGCTCAAGAGACTCAGCCGAAGCGTCTCGTCGAGGCGGCCGTTGCAGTAGCAGAGCACAAAGCAGTCGGTCCCACGCAAACTGATGGTCGGACAACGTTTGAGTCGCGGAAGTTTCTCAGCTGCCGCGTGCACCTGGCCGCCGATCGACCTCGCCGTTGGAAAGCGGCGGAGCATCTGGAGAAGCTGGAGCACCACTCGGTTCTTGGTGTTGTTGTAGTGAAAAGAGCTGTACGCGGGGCCTTCGACAATCGTCGTTCGTCGACGGCGGCTGCCTACAGATGCGCAAGTGCGCCAGAGACGACGGATCGGAAGGCGTACCTTGGGCAGGCGCGGGGCGCAGGTGCGGCATGACAAGGCCGTGCAGGAGCGGGAGACTGCCAATGAGCACAGTGTAAACACTCGCGCCGACCCCAGCTTCGATCCTCTGGCCTTGGTCGCGGGACGGCACGACGCAGTTGAAGATCCATTGGTACAAGCGAGCCAGCAGCGCTACGTTGCCGTTGAGGTACGTCAGCACCGGCCCATAGATGCTGACAACGATTGCGACGAGGGTCGGGTCCACGTCCGAAAATACATGTTCCTTGCGGTACCGCTTCAGACCAAACGAGACGATACAGAGGTACCAGTACGCAAACCAGACCTAGCCATCGCGCATGAGGACAGGATCAAAAGGCTCGGAAGACAGACCGTGCGCGCCAGATAGGCCATGCTCACGAGCATCAACCAGATCTTCTCGTTCTGCTGTACTTGCATGATGGCGATCGCAAGGCTCCCGGCGCTGAGCCAAATGTCGAGAAAGTAGAGGGACGCAACCCACGGATCCAAGAGGATCATGGCGGTGGGGTCGCCCACAATTAATTCGTAGGACCACGCACCGTCGGGCATCTTCTGGCGATGCCCCGACGTTTCGAGTCGCGTCTCCAGCGCCACGACATGGCGGTAGTAGAGGCGCCAGAACCGATGCCAGACCAACAGTGTTGCGCCAATCCGGTACACAAACTTGAACCAGACCCACGACGCGTCGCGCGACTCGGTGTAGACAAAGTAAATGGTCACGCTGCTGTCGTTGGCCGTCGAACGGTTGAAAATCGCGTCTCCTGGCACGAGCCAGAGACACGAGTGCCCGACGCCAAAGCTGCACAGCTGCGCGCGAAAGCACGACCCCCGGATGGCCCAGTCCGTGACGCTCGATACATTCGGCGCGCGCAGCGTCGCACACACGAGGTCGACGTGGCTGTTGCTGTAATAGATCAGCCCCGGGAGACCCAAAAGGTGGTCTTGAAAACACTCGGCCTCCGACATCGACGGCTGGCCCATGCGCCGCAGCGCGCGGGTTACTTGCGCATCGTACTTGGTGTCGACGACGTACGTCTCGCCGGTCGGCAGGGTGGCCGCCGAATAGAGCGCTTGGTTCAGCGCACGCGTCTGGTTGGAGAAGGCTTCGTACGAGGCAAACGTCTCGAGCGCCGGGCGCTCTGTCCACGGAAAATTCTCGGAAACGTAGGCAGCGAGCGGCTACAGATCGGTGAACGAGCGCTCTGCATGCATAGAGCATACTACGGACGAGAGGTTGAGAAAGGAGACGACGCTCGCGATGAACGCGAGCCGTGTGCGGTGGACGCCATACGTCCGGCCTGCTGCGCGGATGTCGGAGACCTTGGCCATGTGCACCCGCCGTGAGAATAGTTTCGTGGGCTGTAGCCGCTGCGTGCGTTGAGTCGGAAAGAGGTCCAGCATTGTGGAAGGCTCTCATGCCCAAGCCGCATCAGGCTATAGAATGTATGGATGTCGTAGGGCGGGCAGGGGCAACCTCCGATACAAGACCTCTACGGTTCGATCGCGCTGCCCGTTGACTATAAATTTGCATGCTCTTTGCTAGCTCACCGACGTCGTCCTTTGCGGCCGAGTCCTCCAACGACAGTCTGATGCGATGCTGGTATCGAACTGGTAGTCGATTTATCATTCATTCATGGATGTTTAAGCCGTAAAGGTATCGATGGACCACTGCTGGTTGGGGTTGTTGGGGGTGCACGCCCACATTTGCGCGTGGCGGTCGGCGTACGTCGGGTCGGCGTCCAGGCACTGACCCACGTGGGTCGCGTGCTCGAGTGTCTTGGTGCTCGGGTTGAAGTTCCACTTTTGGTTGCTGTTGTTGACGTCACACGCGTACGTGTGGAGCTTGAACTTGCCGTTGGCATCCTTGTACGCGTCCAAGCACTGGTTGTTGCTGGCAGCCTTGAGCATCTTGTTGGCTTGGTCCCAGACAAAGAGCTCGTTGAAGTTGTTGGCCGGCGCGTTGGCGTAGAGGTTGGTGTAGTACTCGCTCAGGCGCTTTCCCTGCGACGTGACTGTCACGTACTTCGGCTTGGCGGCCGCGCACTCGACGAAATACGCTGGCGACGTCTCGCCAAAGTTGCACGAGGTGAGGCCGACGACGGCGCCACGGCGTGCCGGCTCGGCCTTGAGGCACAAGCCACCGCGGAGCGCCGAGACGCGCTCCTTCTCGATGGTCCACTGCTGCATCTCGGCGTTGCCGTTGCAGGGCACGGTGTGCACGGCGCCCGGCCACGGCGTCATGATGGCCTCGACGCACTGGCCGTTGCTCTTGGCGCGGAGCGTGCGGTCCGTGTTGTTGTACACAAAGTGTTCGTTCTCGTTGCCCACGTGCACGTCCGTGTAGAGCTTGCTGCTAAACTCGGAGAGCGTCAAGCCTGTGCCCGTGCAGAGCTCGACGTCCTTGGTGCGCGGCGGCATCGGGTTCGCGCACGGCGAGAGCAAGTCACGGCCAATGTTGACGTAGTAGCCCTTGGCGAGCGAGACGTCGCAGTTGGCGGCCGGATTCCCGAGCAGCTGCTGGAGGTCGTTGCACTGCGGGTAGTCGCCGTAGCAAATGGCGTTGTGGATGCCGGGCGACCCAATGCGAGGGACCGTGTTAACGTAGTGGTCGTCGTGCGGCTCGAGCGAGTCCGCGCACTTGTACACGGCCGTGAGGACCTCCTTGGAGCAGTCGACAAAGGCGTGCGACGACGCAGCGAGAAGAGGGACGAGGTAGATGCACTTCATGTTGTAGCGGCCAATTGCAGAATGCGAAAGCATCGGCGACAGCACGCGACGTCCGAAGTGGATACCGACATCATCGTTCTCCGAATTTTGTGGATAGACTATTCCGAGAGCCTTTTTGCGTGCGGTTGTAGCAGTGTCGCAGTGCTGCCGCGATGGCCTCGCAGCTCCTACTACAGTACCGGTAGCGCCACACAAGGAGGCAAGATGTATAACCAGTCGAGCTACTGTCGCTCCGCGCAATGGCAGCATTCGACGCAGCGGCGCCGCCCGTAAAAGGCGACACCAGGGGTGGAAAGCTGGGGTGGAATGGCCTGGGGAAAGCACATCTGTTTTGGCGGAACGTTCTTTAGACCTTCCTATGTGCATGTTGCTCTTCCTATATAACAGTTAGCTCGACGACCGCCCTGACCTCTGGTCCAGAGGACAGGACGGTCGTGTCGAGCCAGCCGTCACGTACAGCGATGTGGTAAGCGGCAGCCCCGGGGCACGTGTACGGGGCTGCACCGTGACCTGTCCGCCGTCTCGGACGCTCGGTTCTCCCGAGGACCTCGATACGCAGCTTTGCTCTCAACGCATTGAAGGCTTCTACGGCGCATCTTCTGGGCCTCACTCGAGGCCGCATGCGCTCCCGAGCGACTTCGGAAGAGCTCACCGAGCCGCGCAGACACGGTGAGCAAAAGAAGAAGAAGACGAAGGAGTTGGCTAGTCTCTACGTATGCACAGTCT